CCACCACCTACAGTCGTCACCTACCACCTACAGTCGTCGACCACCACCTACAGTCGTCACCCACCACCTACAGTCGTCCCCCACCACCTACAGCCGTCGACCACCACCTACAGTCGTCGACCACCACCTACAGTCGTCACCCACCACCTACAGTCGTCACCCACCACCTACAGTCGTCGACCACCACCTACAGTCGTCACCCACCACCTACAGCCGTCGACCACCACCTACAGTCGTCGACCACCACCTACAGTCGTCCCCCACCACCTACAGCCGTCGACCACCACCTACAGTCGTCACCCACCACCTACAGTCGTCACCCACCACCTACAGTCGTCACCCACCACCTACAGTCGTCCACCACCACCTACAGTCGTCACCCACCACCTACAGTCGTCGACCACCACCTACAGTCGTCGACCACCACCTACAGTCGTCACCCACCACCTACAGTCGTCGACCACCACCTACAGTCGTCGACCACCACCTACAGTCGTCACCACCACCTACAGTCGTCACCCACCACCTACAGTCGTCGACCACCACCTACAGTCGTCGACCACCACCTACAGTCGTCGACCACCACCTACAGTCGTCACCCACCACCTACAGTCGTCCTCCACCACCTACAGTCGTCGACCACCACCTACAGTCGTCGACCACACCTACAGTCGTCACCCACCACCTACAGTCGTCACCACCACCCACCCACACCTACAGTCGTCGACCACCACCTACAGTCGTCACCCACCACCTACAGTCGTCCTCCACCACCTACACCTCGTCGTCACCACCACCTACAGTCGTCACCCCACCACCTACAGTCGTCGACCACCACCTACAGTCGTCGACCACCACCTACAGTCGTCACCCACCACCTACAGTCGTCACCCACCACCTACAGTCGTCGACCACCACCTACAGTCGTCGACCACCACCTACAGTCGTCACCCACCACCTACAGTCGTCGACCACCACCTACAGTCGTCACCCACCACCTACAGTCGTCGACCACCACCTACAGTCGTCACCCACCACCTACAGTCGTCGACCACCACCTACAGCCGTCGACCACCACCTACAGTCGTCGACCACCACCTACAGTCGTCACCCACCACCTACAGTCGTCGACCACCACCTACAGTCGTCGACCACCACCTACAGTCGTCACCCACCACCTACAGTCGTCACCCACCACCTACAGTCGTCGACCACCACCTACAGTCGTCCTCCACCACCTACAGTCGTCGACCACCACCTACAGTCGTCGACCACCACCTACAGTCGTCACCCACCACCTACAGTCGTCGACCACCACCTACAGTCGTCGACCACCACCTACAGTCGTCACCCACCACCTACAGTCGTCACCCACCACCTACAGTCGTCGACCACCACCTACAGTCGTCGACCACCACCTACAGTCGTCGACCACCACCTACAGCCGTCGACCACCACCTACAGCCGTCGACCACCACCTACAGTCGTCACCCACCACCTACAGTCGTCACCCACCACCTACAGTCGTCACCCACCACCTACAGCCGTCGACCACCACCTACAGTCGTCACCCACCACCTACAGTCGTCACCCACCACCTACAGTCGTCACCCACCACCTACAGCCGTCGACCACCACCTACAGTCGTCACCCACCACCTACAGTCGTCACCCACCACCTACAGTCGTCGACCACCACCTACAGCCGTCGACCACCACCTACAGTCGTCACCCACCACCTACAGTCGTCCTCCACCACCTACAGTCGTCGACCACCACCTACAGTCGTCCCCCACCACCTACAGTCTTCCCCCACCACCTACAGTCGTCACCCACCACCTACAGTCGTCACCCACCACCTACAGTCGTCGACACCACCTACAGTCGTCGACCACCACCTACAGTCGTCGACCACCACCTACAGCCGTCGACCACCACCTACAGTCGTCACCCACCACCTACAGTCGTCGATCACCACCTACAGTCGTCACCCACCACCTACAGTCGTCCCCCACCACCTACAGTCGTCCTCCACCACCTACAGCCGTCACCCACCACCTACAGTCGTCGCCCACCACCTACAGTCGTCCTCCACCACCTACAGTCGTCACCCACCACCTACAGTCGTCACCCACCACCTACAGTCGTCGACCACCACCTACAGTCGTCACCCACCACCTACAGTCGTCCCCCACCACCTACAGTCGTCGACCACCACCTACAGTCGTCGACCACCACCTACAGTCGTCACCCACCACCTACAGTCGTCCCCCACCACCTACAGTCGTCCTCCACCACCTACAGTCGTCACCCACCACCTACAGCCGTCACCCACCACCTACAGTCGTCGACCACCACCTACAGTCGTCACCCACCACCTACAGCCGTCGACCACCACCTACAGTCGTCGACCACCACCTACAGTCGTCCCCCACCACCTACAGTCGTCCTCCACCACCTACAGCCGTCGACCACCACCTACAGTCGTCACCCACCACCTACAGTCGTCCTCCACCACCTACAGTCGTCGACCACCACCTACAGTCGTCCCCCACCACCTACAGTCGTCCTCCACCACCTACAGTCGTCACCCACCACCTACAGTCGTCACCCACCACCTACAGTCGTCGACCACCACCTACAGTCGTCACCCACCACCTACAGTCGTCGACCACCACCTACAGTCGTCGACCACCACCTACAGTCGTCGACCACCACCTACAGTCGTCCTCCACCACCTACAGCCGTCCCCCACCACATACAGTCGTCCTCCACCACCTACAGTCGTCACCCACCACCTACAGTCGTCACCCACCACCTACAGTCGTCGACCACCACCTACAGTCGTCGACCACCACCTACAGTCGTCACCCACCACCTACAGTCGTCACCCACCACCTACAGTCGTCGACCACCACCTACAGTCGTCGACCACCACCTACAGTCGTCGACCACCACCTACAGTCGTCGACCACCACCTACAGCCGTCACCCACCACCTACAGTCGTCGACCACCACCTACAGCCGTCACCCACCACCTACAGCCGTCGACCACCACCTACAGCCGTCGATCACCACCTACAGCCGTCGACCACCACCTACAGCCGTCGACCACCACCTACAGCCGTCGATCACCACCTACAGCCGTCGACCACCACCTACAGCCGTCGACCACCACCTACAGTCGTCGACCACCACCTACAGTCGTCACCCACCACCTACAGTCGTCACCCACCACCTACAGTCGTCACCCACCACCTACAGTCGTCACCCACCACCTACAGCCGTCGACCACCACCTACAGTCGTCGACCACCACCTACAGTCGTCGACCACCACCTACAGTCGTCGACCACCACCTACAGTCGTCGACCACCACCTACAGCCGTTGACCACCACCTACAGTCGTCACCCACCACCTACAGTCGTCCTCCACCACCTACAGTCGTCGACCACCACCTACAGTCGTCCCCCACCACCTACAGTCTTCCCCCACCACCTACAGTCGTCACCCACCACCTACAGTCGTCACCCACCACCTACAGTCGTCGACCACCACCTACAGTCGTCAACCACCACCTACAGTCGTCGACCACCACCTACAGCCGTCGACCACCACCTACAGTCGTCACCCACCACCTACAGTCGTCGACCACCACCTACAGTCGTCACCCACCACCTACAGTCGTCCCCCACCACCTACAGTCGTCCTCCACCACCTACAGCCGTCACCCACCACCTACAGTCGTCGCCCACCACCTACAGTCGTCCTCCACCACCTACAGTCGTCACCCACCACCTACAGTCGTCACCCACCACCTACAGTCGTCGACCACCACCTACAGTCGTCACCCACCACCTACAGTCGTCCCCCACCACCTACAGCCGTCGACCACCACCTACAGTCGTCGACCACCACCTACAGCCGTCACCCACCACCTACAGTCGTCACCCACCACCTACAGTCGTCCTCCACCACCTACAGTCGTCACCCACCACCTACAGTCGTCACCCACCACCTACAGTCGTCGACCACCACCTACAGTCGTCACCCACCACCTACAGCCGTCGACCACCACCTACAGTCGTCGACCACCACCTACAGTCGTCCCCCACCACCTACAGTCGTCCTCCACCACCTACAGCCGTCGACCACCACCTACAGTCGTCACCCACCACCTACAGTCGTCCTCCACCACCTACAGTCGTCGACCACCACCTACAGTCGTCCCCCACCACCTACAGTCGTCCTCCACCACCTACAGTCGTCAACCACCACCTACAGTCGTCACCCACCACCTACAGTCGTCGACCACCACCTACAGTCGTCACCCACCACCTACAGTCGTCGACCACCACCTACAGTCGTCGACCACCACCTACAGTCGTCGACCACCACCTACAGCCGTCACCACCACCTACAGTCGTCGACCACCACCTACAGCCGTCACCCACCACCTACAGCCGTCGACCACCACCTACAGCCGTCGATCGACCACCACCTACAGCCGTCGACCACCACCTACAGCCGTCGACCACCACCTACAGCCGTCGATCACCACCTACAGCCGTCGACCACCACCTACAGCCGTCGACCACCACCTACAGTCGTCGACCACCACCTACAGTCGTCACCCACCACCTACAGTCGTCACTCACCACCTACAGTCGTCACCCACCACCTACAGTCGTCACCCACCACCTACAGCCGTCGACCACCACCTACAGTCGTCGACCACCACCTACAGTCGTCGACCACCACCTACAGTCGTCGACCACCACCTACAGTCGTCGACCACCACCTACAGCCGTCGACCACCACCTACAGTCGTCACCCACCTCCTACAGTCGTCGACCACCACCTACAGTCGTCGACCACCACCTACAGCCGTCGACCACCACCTACAGTCGTCGACCACCACCTACAGTCTTCACCCACCACCTACAGTCGTCGACCACCACCTACAGCCGTCGACCACATATAAAAGCAAGTGTCTTTTACCTTTATCGTAAGTAGCGGCGGCAGCGGCAGCGGCGACCATCGATGAGAGAAGGAGGAGGACGCCTCCTGCAGACGCCGTCATGACGGAGGTGTGGTCGAGGGGCAGGCTAGGGGCAGGTGCCGGGGCTGGCCTGAGGGAAGGGTAGCACGGGGTAGAACAGGGGCAAGCACGTCCAACTGTGGGCAGAGTCGCGCGGGTACAGTGGCTCAGCGTTGGTGTGTGGCGTATGGCGGGGACCCTCTAGCTCGCCTCGCCACGCCCCCTCCTGCCCACACACACACTCACACACACACACACACACACACACACACACACACACACACACACACACACACACACACACACACACACACACACACACACACACACACACACACACACACACACACACACACAGGAATCATTCAGAACCTTGTATACCACCTTGTATGAACCTTGTATAGGGAGCCGGTCGGCCGAGCGGACAGCACGCTGGACTTATGATCCTGTGGTCCCGGGTTCGATCCCGGGCGCCGGCGAGAAACAATGGGCCGAGTTTCTTTCACCCTATGCCCCTGTTACTTAGCAGTAAAATAGGTACCTGGGTGTTAGTCAGCTGTCACGGGGTGCTTCCTGGGGGTGGAGGCCTGGTCGAGGACCGGGCCGCGGGGACACTAAAGCCCCGAAATCATCTTAAGATGACCTCAAGATAACCACATATGTAAGACCAATCCTGGAGTATGCGGCCACAGCATGGAGCCCGTACCTTGTCAAGCACAAGGCGAAGCTTGAAAAAGTTCAGAGATATGCCAATAGGTTAGTCCCAGAACTAAGAGGCATGAGTTACGAAGAAAGACTGCGGGAAATGCACCTTACGGCACTGGAAGACAGAAGAGTGAGGAGAGGCATGATCACTACCTACAAAATCCTCAGGGGATTTGACAGAGTAGAAATTGATAAGCTATTCAACACTGGTGGTACGCGAACAAGGGGACACTGGTGGAAATTGAGTACCCAAATGAGCCACAGGGACGTTAGAAAGAACTTTTTCAGTGTTAGAGTAGTTAACAGGTGGAATGCATTAGGCAGTGATGTGGTAGAGGCTGACTCCATACACAGTTTCAAGTGTAGATATGATAGAGCCCAGTAGGCTCAGGAATCTGTACACCAGTTGATTGACAGTTGAGAGGCGGGACCAAAGAGCCAGAGCTCAACCCCTGCAAACATAACTAGGTGAGTACAGTCACAGTTTCAAGTGTAGATATGATAGAGCCCAATAGGCTCAGGAACCTGTACATTAATTGACTGACAGTTGAGACGCGGGACCAAAAAGCCAGAGCTCAACCCCCTCAAGCACAACTAGGTAAGTACAACTAGGTAAGTACACACACACATACACTGGGTAACAGCTGGGAGAGGAAATCCTTCAGGAGTCAGGACGAGAGAAAGATCTGGGGGTTGATAGCTGTCCCCTGAAGCCCACGTCAAAATGATAACATCAGCGGCGTTTGCAAGGACTGGCGAACATAAGAACTGTTCTGAAACTTGTGTAAGAAATCATTCAGAACCTTGTATACCTCGTATGTCAGACCAACACTGGAATATGCGGCTCCAGCATGGAATCCACATCTAGTCAAACACAAAACGATGTTAGAAAAGGTTCAGAGGGATGCCACCAGGCTAGTCCACGAGCTGAGAGGAATGAGCTACGAGGAAACATTACTAGAACTGAACCTCACGAAACTGGAAGACAGAAGAGTTAGGGGAGACATGATCACTACCTACAAGATTCTCAGAGGAATTGACAGGGGAGATAAAGATAAACTGTTTAACTCGGGTGGTACGCGAACAAAGGGACAAGGGTGGAAAATGAAAACCCAAATGAGCCACAGGGACGTTAGAAAGAACTTTTTCAGTGTCAGAGTAGTTAACAGATGGAATACATTAGGCAGTAATGTGGTGGAGGCTGACTCCATACACAGTTTCAAATGTAGATATTATAGATCTCAAAGAGCTCTGTAATCTGTACCCCAGTTGATTGACAGTATTGACAGCTCTCCACATGTCAGTTGCCTAATTTAGAAACTGTACTTGTGGTCGATCTCGAACCCATTGTTGATGTGACGACTTATATTGAATTTTGTAACTAGCTCATCAAGATTGTAACTTGCTTAGCTAAGTGAATTGTGGGGTTCAGTCTCTGAGCCCATTATGTGCCTCTGTAACCCTTTCCACTACCGCCCACAAGATGGGTATGGGGTGCATAATAAATGAACTAAGCTAACTAACTAAGACATTCGTAAGACATGTAACATGCAGCAGTGGTGAGGTGTCCGTGCCTCGGGAACAACGTTGATAAACTAGAAACGGCACAAAAACGTGCTACTAAATGGCTCCCGAAATTTAAAAGAAAATAAAACTGAGCTATGAGGAGAGGCTGGAGACGTTAAACACGCCCAGGCTGGAAGATGAAAACAAAAGAGGTGATCTGATCACGACATACAAAATAGTAACGTCTGGTGTTGACAACGGCTTTGATCGGCCGAAACGTTCATCTCTCCTTTCCCATTACTCTGTGGATTTTCCGCACACAAAATAGTAACAATAATCGACCAAATAGACAAAGAGGAATGTCTCAAACCTGCAACTTTGGGAACACGAGGCCACAGATTTCAAGCTAAGGAAACAAAGGTGCCGGAAAAATATTAGAAAGTTTTCTTTTGCAAACAGAGTGGTAGACGGTTGGAACAAGCTAAGTGGTGGTGGTGGAGGCCAAAACCGTCAGTAGTTTGAAAGCGTTGTTCGACAAAGTACTGGGAAGACGGGACACCACGAGTGTAGCTCTCATTCTGTAACTACAATTAGATAATTACACACTCAAAACTCAATCACTTACTAACCACTTGGGCTGGACGGTAGAGCGACAAACGGTAGCCACCTGCCATAGGTAACGGTAGCCACCTGCCACAGGTAACGGTAGCCACCTGCCACAGGTAACGGTAGCCACCTGCCACAGGTAACCCAATCTGATCCTAGCATCCACTATATCACACTGTCTGGTGGACGTTTTGTGCTGCCCAAGGACAGGGGCATCATATGGGACAGTGGGCATCATATGGGACAGTGGGCATCATATATGGGACAGTGGGCATCACATGGGACAGTGGGCATCACATGGGACAGTGGGTATCACATGGGACAGTGGGCATCACATGGGACAGTGGGCATCACATGGGACAGTGGGCATCATATGGGACAGTGGGCATCACATGGGACAGTGGGCATCACATGGGACAGTGGGCATCACATGGGACAGTGGGCATCACATGGGACAGTGGGCATCACATGGGACAGTGGGCATCACATGGGAAAGTGGGCGGCATCATATCTAAACAAATCATAAGTCTGTACACTAGAGCTTTCAGGACTGTGAGAGTCCGCCATTTCTTTCTCATCAGACCAGAATGTTTTGGAGGAGTCCAGTCCTAACGGAGATAGGCATCAATATAATTCTAATTTATCAATATAATTCAATATTCTAATTATCAATATAATTCTAATTTAGGGATCAATATAATTCTAATTTGATTTCATCCTTGTTACGTGCTAATGTGGCTGCAATGTCTGGGCCATCGTGATGAGTTATGTTTGTGGTAGATGGTATCAATACAACGTTTTTTAATGTATCAAGACACACCCGTGGCCTACACGGCAAATATTATGTAACTCTACGGTTGCAGCACATACTATTTCATATACTGTACTGAGAAAATCGGTAGGATTTCCCACGGGGATTCGAACCTATGCTTCCTCCTCGAGACTCCTATTGATTTTAACACTGATACTTCATGTTGATGTGATTAGTTTGTGCATTTCATATACTCTCACTAATATATATATATTCATTTTCACCTTTCATATAATGTACGAAAGACCCCATTTGTGTGTGTGTGTACTCACCTAGTTGTGGTTGCGGGGTTGAGCTCTGGCTCTTTGGTCCCGCCTCTCAACCGTCAATCAACTGATGTACAGGTTCCTGAGCCTACAGGGCTCTATCATATCTACACTTACTGTGTATGGAGTCAGCGTTCACCACATCACTGCCTAATGCATTCCACTTGTTAACTACTCTGACATTAAAAAAAAAAAGTTCTTTCTAACGTCCCTGTGGCTCATTTGGGTACTCAGCTTCCACCTGTGTCAGAACGCAGTACTCGGCCTACTATGCAAGGCCCGATTTGCCTAATAAGCCAAGTTTTCCTAAATTTTATTTATTTTTCTAATTTTTTCTTAGGAAATGTGTTATATATATATATATATATATATATATATATATATATATATATATATATATATATATATATATATATATATAGGCTTGTTCGCATATTATATATATATTATATATATATATATATATATATATATATATATATAGATATATATATATAGTTATATATATATATATATATATATGTCGTACCTAGTAGCCAGAACGCAGTACTTGGCCTACTATGCAAGACGTGATTTGCCTAATAAGCCAAGTTTTCCTGAATTTATATATTTTTCTCATATTTTATCTTTTGAAATGATAGAGCTATTCATTTCACTATGTGTGAGTAAGTAGTTTTTTATTTGAGTTAAAACTAACGTAGATATATGACCGAACCTAACCAACCCTACCTAACCTAACCTATCTTAATCTAACCTAAACTAACACTATTTAGTGAATAATTTATGTTCTTAATATAAAAAAATATTAATGATTCATATAAACTAATCAGAAACAGTTTATTGAAAATAAAGAAAATCTCTCGGCCTATTAGGCAAATTGGGCCTTGCATAGTAGGCCGAGAAGTGCGTTCTGGCTAGTAGGTACGACATATATATATATATATATATATATATATATATATATATATATATATATATATATATATATATATATATATATATATATATATGTCGTACCTAATAGCCAGAACGCACTTCTCAGCCTACTATTCAAGGCCCGATTTGCCTAATAAGCCAAGTTTTCATGAATTAATGTTTTTTCGTCTACCTAACCTACCTAACCTAACCTAACCTAGCTTTTTTTGGCTACCTAACCTAACCTTACCTATAAATATAGGTTAGGTTAGGTTAGGTAGGGTTGGTTAGGTTCGGTCATATATCTACGTTAATTTTAACTCCAATAAAAAAAAATTGACCTCATACATAGAGAAAAGGGTTGCTTTAT